TTCAAAATTCATATTTGAGCCTCTGTACAGAGGTCTGAGCTATGTTAATATTATGCTAAGTTAATTTTTTGCCGAAATATTGTATTTAAATAAAAAAAAAATTGTCATAATGTCCTTAAAACAATTTTATACATGTATTCTAATCTAAATGACACTAAATATCATAAAAATTGTACATTTGTGCACTTTTTTAAAATCATGGTTCCCCGAACGTAGTCGGATATCTTAAGACGACCATAAATAAGTGTAAGAGAGTTGCCTGGTTAGATGAGTGAGACAATTTCTCATTCATCACGTTACTGGTCGTGTCAGGGGAAGCCCGTCTTCTAGGCGAACAGTTGGTTCCCGATGTACAATAGCTCATTCTCAGACTGGTGGTGGCGATATTGTACCTTAGGGAACGTTCCAATATGTTATTGTAGTTATAGCAGAACACAGACCAAAGAAGCTAGGTCTACCTGAGCATTACTGCAGATAAGAGTTACAGGGTGTTTGTTCTTCAATCCCTACTATTATATAGCTCACAGTGTCTCTCCCTCCCTCTCTCTCTCTATTTATATATATTTTTAGATTTTCAGTCGTTAATAAAATACTTTTTATTCATCCACTCAAGTTCAAATACACTTTTTTTAACTTGTAGTGGATAACACTTGATGATAATAGTTTTTTCAAATATTAATCCATTAATTAAATTTAAAAAATACCTTCTAATAAATGTCAATATGTAAAAAGGAAGATATTTTTGAATGAAAGATTTTGGCTGTGGAAAGAATTTGGATATAGGTATCATACTTCGCAATATATCCTACAGATACTCTGTATGAAATATTTATTCTTATATTTAGTGTGTCTTTGAATATGTAGATGATTTTATGGCAGTGTCGCGAGAGGGAAAAAATCAGAAGTTTTTCTTCGCGTACAGACAGCGTAGATTAATATGGAGATGATTAATTCTTAAATGACCAGGTAATAAATTTGAAAAAAAAATATGTACAAAGCACAACTTAAGGAGAGTTGGAAACCTCCTTCTCTCTCTATACTGACAATGTTAAATTGGCTGTTTTCGATGTACCTTTTCTCAAAATCTGTTATATGTACATGCTTGAAATTTTTCATACAATTAAAGTATAACTTTCTCATTATACTGAAATGTGCTTTCAGCTAATTTTGAATTTTTTTTTTTTTTAATTTAAGAAATATTTTATCAAACATTGCGAAATTTGTACCATTTTTTACATAAAAAATGTATAAAAAATAAATTTTTGAGATTCTTACAAAAAGCTCATTCCAATATATATTAGCCATCATTATAAATATATCATAAAAAAATTTACATACCTGTGAACATCTCGAGCCACATTTGAGCCACATTTATACAATTTTGCAATACCGGTATTCACAAGTTAAAATACCGGTTTTTCGGTATTTACTAGAAATTTTTTTTAATTGTCTCCTCTATATGTACAGGGATCGTCAACATAGCAAAATAGTATACGGTTTTGTTTTTATGTCTCCCTAACGGGCGAAATTAATTAGACTGAGAATATAAGGTTGCATCGTACAATCAAGAAGTGATATAATATGTGAATCATCCAAGGAGGTGGGCCAAATATATTCAGTTACAGCTCAGAGCGATAGTGCACACGCGCAGAATTTGTAGTCTGAAATTCGTATTTGTAAAAACAAGGTTGTAGGTTTTTTTTTTTAAACAATTATAAAATCCCCGTGCACCACAAAGTATCACACGGGGCTTACAGAAGTAAGTAATAAACACACATTCAGGTGAAGCAAAAAATAATAAAAAAATATATATATTGAGGTTAAGAAGAAATAATGTGAAGAAAATGCGTAATATTTCGAAATTTTTAAATTGGTGTCTTCGTTTTTCACATTGTATTTGCATATCATACTTATGATTTTAAAACTGAAAATGAAAAGGGAGAAAAGAGACTAACCAATTCAAATTTGGTCAAGTTTATAGTAAATTTTCATAAAATTTTTTATCTACAAACATATTTACATTCGGAAGAATTCAGTACAGTTATCGAAGAGGATGACACTAATGTCGATAGTGAAAAAAAATTGTCTCATGAACAAAAATTAGAATTAGAGATAGCTAAAAAAAATTTCCTCAAACAAAATGTAATACAGAAATTAGCTATATTCAAAAACCAACCGGAGTGAAATCCATTTATTTCAAAAGATGAGAAATTTAGTGGTAAATACTTGGAAAATGTATATTACGCATTGCCAACTAGCGTAGATGCCGAAAGAGCGTTTTCGCCAGCAGGTAATTTTTGCACAAATTATGTTCCAGGCTTTATGACAGTACAATTGATGCATTATGTTTTTTACGATCACATTTCAAAAATTTATAATAGTACCACAAATTGAATAGTGATATTTACACTTTTTGTGATTTAAATAAATTAGATGTTCCCTTAATTTTGCGATTCCTTATTTACTGTTATAATTTATAAGTACAAATTGTTTTTTTTTTGTGTTATTTACACTCTTTAATAAAACTGGCAAATAAAACAAAGAAACAACTAAAATTTCTAAAACCAGTATCCCAGTATTAAGATCTAAAAAATACCGAATACTGGTATTGAGCTTTGGTCCGGTAATGCAATTCCTAGTTGCCACCTAGAGTTTCAGAACGGGTCTAGATTTCGTTAGAGCATTTACTTGATGTACTTGCATGTTTTGTTTATTATTATTACCTGAAGTTAGCATATTTTAAAAGGATATTTTATCATTCTGTGCACAGCAAAAAAATTAGACAAGATTTTAAAAGACATCTTTAAAGATAAATTTTCATGAACTCTACTGGATAAAGAAGTTTGATTAAAGTAATTGTTATTGTTTTTAATGTTAAGGCAACTACTGCGTTCGGAAATTTTTTTTATTTTTAGAATTAGATTTTTTGCACAGATTAAACTCTTTTAGAAATATTATAAGAAAAAATACATAAATACCATATTTTTGACAAAAATAATAGAAAAATAACATATTTTCAAAACATTATCCTTTTATTAAATTTTCTTTTATATTGTTACGTTGATCGGGGTTCCACGATTTTATGCAAATCAGTCGCAAAAAGCAAGACAATTCTTAAGAGCGATGAGAATTTGTTGTCGCCTCGAGGAAAAAGTCCTTTAAATACTGGCTTCAACAGCAATATTCGACGAATAAATATCAGAAGGTCTTCACACCTTCAACAGCATTCAAACACAATTATCAGTGTTTAAAATACACGTATGTAAAAGATTATTCATAAGCACCGCTCGTCCAAGCTAATCGGTAAACACGGTCAAGGTAGACTTTGTCGAAACAAGACTAACTCAACTCGGTTGAGCGTTTCCCTATTTATATACGTCACAGATCTTTCGAGAAAGATCCGCTTGCGTCAAAGATCATGAAATTAACTCTTTTCTCCACTATCATCCAGAAGAATGCAGAAGGTCCCAAACTGGCCGAATTGGTCGTTAAAAATGATGCACACTTGGCAATATCGCCAAGATTTTACCAAGTTCTCATTGAATCACCATTATAACGTAAGGGATGGCGTTGCTTGCGAATATTACAATTTTAACGTAAATTAAATATAATACAGTAATATATATATATATATATATATATTACACACACACATCCAAATACAGATCATTTACACTATTTTACAAAATTCGTAGCACACAATATTTTCCCTATATATAGCTAAGACTTCTGTACAGAGACTGAACTAGGAATTTTGAAAAATTCTTAGGATTTTTACAGTTACGATCAATTGAAATAATAACCGATGCGTTTTTTTTTGTAAAAAGTTTAGTACTTACATATATTAAGTATGAATAAATCCACTTTTAAGTTATATATTTCAAAAATCATAGCTTAGCCCCAATAGTAAAATTTTAAATATATACAGGCAAAATATTATTACAGAAGTTATATACATACCTGTATAATACTTGCCTTAGCTATATATATGCAACATATCGTTTCAGAAGCATTTTTCATAAAAGGACTGTTTTAAAATTACGTCACTTTTCTCTCTCTCTCTCTCTCTCTTTTTTAACCCAAGATTGTATTTAAATAATTTTTAATTGTAATGATATTCTTAAAAGAATTTTATATGTTTATTCTAATTCAATTGGCACTAAATACCAAAATTTTTCATTTATACGCTTTTGCAAAATCAAGGTTCCAAACTCAGCCAGTAACCCAAAGTGTAAATAATTTTTAACCTAATTGATTAAAAATTTACAGTATCTTTTTCTGTAATATAATTATCTACTGATCATTTTTTATCTGCCCATTTTTTTAAGTGATATTTTATATATGTATTTTTTCTTACAGGTAAGGAATACTTCCAGTTTAAGACTATTGGAATTGTCCCTCTAGAGTAAGAAATACTATTTGAAAGTTGTATTACATCCTAACATTACTTTTGTTGCTGCGTTTATTATTATCTAAATATTTAATTAAATATACTTAATAGAGCAAATTGATTCAGGAATATTTATTTAAATCTTGTTATCGAGGAGAAAACCATAGCGTAATGTTTCAAAATATAAAATAAAGCCCTATTTTCAATTCCTACTATTAGTTCACTCTGTCCCTATATATATATATTACTCAAATTTTCAATCGTTAATAAAATACTTTCTATTCATCCATTTAAGTTTAAAAACATTTTCTTGAACTTGTAGTGGAGGGCACGTGATATTTTTCTTTTTTTTTTTCAAATATTAATTCATTAATTAAGTTAAACAAGTAATATAAAAAAAATAAGGTCAATTCCTACTTTGTTAGAAAAAAACGTACTTGCACGAACTTGATTGGATGAATAGAAATTATTTTATTTGCTATTGAAAATTCCAACAAGATAAATATATAGAGAGTGTGAGGTAATAGTAGTGGGATTGAAAAAGGATTAAATAGTAACAAACAAAAATAATAGTTTAACATCATATATAGAAAGGAAAATATCTCGTTGCGTCTCCGTAGCGCAATGGATAGCGCGTTGGATTTCTCATCTAAATGGCGTGGTTCCGAATCCCACCTGAGATGGCCTCATTTCTGAGAATGTAATTTCTTTTTACTATACTATTTTATTAGAATAATTAAATTTAATGAAGTAATAAATATATTAACAAACAAAAATAATAGATCAACTCCCTATATAGAAAGGAAAATGGCAAGGAAAATCGCTTTCTATTTTGCCACTTAATAGTGTGATTCCGTCCTTTGTATACATATTTTTATATTAATTGTAATTATTTGATAAAAAGTAACTAAAATATAAAATGTTTCTTTCTTGACCACAGTAGGAATTAACTTTAAAAAATTATTTATATTACTTGTTTCTATATTATAAATGTAATCTTTTCACAGACAACTCCTCCTGTTACATATATCGAATTGTGTTGGAATGGTTCAAGATATATAGTTATGAACTCGAATTAATGTCCTGATTGCTTAATTCACTGGCTTTTAATTCGTTAGAGAGCATTTGGGTTTTCATAGAAAGGCGCTACGAAATCAGAAACCTCAATGTTGGAATACCTCGACTTTAGGTTTCGCTATTTAGATATATGGTACACAATCGGTTTCTTATCAGTTACCAAAAACTTTTGCCATCCATGCTTAGGTAAATTGCAGGTGATTTTTGGTCAAGGGGGTGCTATGCGTTTGTGAGTATGGGTTCATAACGTTTTGGCTCTTTGGTGCATATCATCCTTCTTGCTGCACAATGGGCTACATGCGGCTCTACAGGACGGAAGGAAAACTAAATTAATCTATATTCTCCCGTTTTGGATTTAGAAGATCAAAACGCAGATTATATTTTCAATTTTTCTCTTCGGATCTCAGTTTTTTCCCCTCTCTGATGTTTTCATTACCTCAGTTTTATGAACTGAAACAATTTGTACGCTTTACAAGTAAGATCTTATTGGAAATCTGATAGATTAATTAATACCAAGTGGTGTGTGTTTCAGAAGTTTTGAGATTACTGTATTTCTTTCTCATTTGGTCAAACGCGTTCTTCCTACTAATAGTCCTCTTAGAGAATAATGGGTGCTTAAAAATCTTTCCGTTGAAACCTTTCCTCCTCCGAAGAAGATATGGTTATGTAAATCAAGACTTGTATACAAAGATTAACTTTCAAGCTCGGAGGAGAGGGAGGTTAGACTGCTAACGGATAGCAGTGATTAATTAACGTGTAGCTAGACGAGAGCACTTCGTAGTTTATTTGATTAATATTAAGATTGACGATTTAGTCAATTAATAGTTGAATTAGATTCGGTCAAGTTGAATTATAAAGGTGGATTGCCTGAACATAAGTGATTTGATTAATTATTAATTCTTCTAGTATCTCGTTATTGCTTCCCATATTTAACAATTGGTGCATTTCTTAGTTTGGGTTGTTGGATTTGTATCTTTGTTGAGAATTGTTAGTAAATAGTGTTTGTTTTGAATATTCTTGTATTAAATATTTGTTGTTGTTGTTGTTTTTTAAATTATATTCACAGTGCATAAAACAGTTTACTAAAAAAAAAAAAATGCGAGCTCTCGAATCATTCAAAGGATATCAATAAAAGCCTATCTGATAACAACTTGTTCTTAAAGTATTGTTGTTTCAAACCGCGAATCTATTCTATTTTCAATAGTTTTGATTAAAACAAAGCTTTTCAAAAGAAAGTACTTTTATCTCTCTAAATCCATCCTTATTTTTATATACCGCAAATTCACAGTAAAGCATAACTGTAACTGACTGTAAATTTCTTAACTTTGAATAATTTCAAAAACTCGCGGCATTAATATGCAAAGCTGTATTCCAGAAATGGAGGGTTATGTCTTAGAAATTTTAAACGTAATTAGATCACAAAATTCAGTCGATGAGGCTTTTGAAGTTTCAAGAACTGATTCGAATATCTTTCACTTGTAATCCAATTGTGCACTCGCTTTTAATTTGTAAAATAGTCGTATCGGTGAACTGCCTTTTTACTAAGATAATCATGTTACTAATTTTAAATTGAGCAATGCCTTAGAATACTTCTCATAATTACTTTTAAATAAGAGCAATACAAATGCTACTAATATAAATTTTAAAAACAAAGGACCCACTTTGTTCATATTTAGTCGAATTAATTATTAATAAAGGTAACTGTGGTTATAATCTAAAATGATAACTCTAAATAAAGTGATGAACTCTAGATAAAAACTTGAATCCGTATTACTCTGCAGTTATTCAACTGAATGACTACGAAATTTTCCATGGTTCTTTTATTTCAAACACATTGGTGTATTTAATCTCTTAAGTGCCACCAGAATATATATACGTCTCTTTCAAACGGTACGTTAAATACGACGGACGTATACATACGTTGCTGTTGTTGTGGCTAATGCCAACTGTCTGACGTAGTCAGAACGAGGCCCACGAAATTCATCGTGGCAAGGGTCTAGAAGTACGCCTGTCGTTGATCTAGGCCTTGAGCACCATACAGGTGACAGTTTTTATTTTTAAAAAGATTTATTTGAATATTTGTAATTATGTAATATTCTTTAGAGTGTAATTGAAAATGATTGAAACTCTAATGCTGCTTACTTCTTCTTTTAAAAATCAATTTAAAGTCGATGATCAATTTAAAGTAATGATTATTGTATGAAAATATTTCTGTCGTAGTGGAATGACAAATTTGTTTTTATTCGAGAAAATGCATTATTTATCATTGAAAATAATCTTTCACTGAAAATGATTATCTTTGCTGTCGTTTAGATACACATATTGATAATTATAAGTTTTAATTTGTTTGTTGTTCAAAAACAAGTAATATAAAAAAAATTTTAAGTCAATTCCTCCTTAAATCAATAATAATTTTTTTTTATTTTAGCTACTTTTTATTAACTAGTTAAAATTAATATAAATATTTATATACATAAGATAGAACCACAACATTAAGAGGTAATTAATTTTCATTAAATATCATTAAAGTATCGTATTGTCATCCAAAACAATCGTGTCTATAAAATTTCAGTTCAACTGAATGCTTTAAAACGTGAGAAAAAAAAACATTTTTAAGTTTTGACACAAGTCGCCAAAAGGGTCGCTAAGTCGCCACAAATGATCCCAACGTGACTGTGTATATGTAATTCTTTAAATAATAATAATTTTAAAAATTCATTGATTAAACAATGAATTTTTATTAATTATAATTAAGTTATTGTATTGTCATCCAAAATAATCCTGTATATCAAATTTCAGCTCAATTGAGTGCTATAAAATATATTTTCTTAATGGTTGAAAATTCCACCAAGATAAATAAATAAACAAATAAATAAATATATAGACTGTGAGTTAATAGTAGGAATTGAATGAACTAAAACTTAATTAAACATTTTTAGCATATTTTTTATTTTTTTTTATTTATTTATTTTTTTTTTTTGATATAAGTACTAACAACGTTTTCCGGAATTCTTAATTTTCCTTTCTTTATTAAGAGAAAATTTGGTTTTAGATATCCAGATTGATTTTTGATGTTTGGCATTTCTTTCTTTCCCCGCGCCATTATGAGAGAAAAATCATCCTGAAAATTAAAAATAAATACATTATTAAATCTTTTTTAAAAAATTTTGTCCAAATAATTTGAAATTTTAGTTTATCCGAATAATTATATACGAATCATGTTCATATGAAAAGGTGCGAAACGTCGTAACAACGTAACCGTTAACATACTTGCTTATGCCTCTGTAAAAAAGTTGAGCGAGATATCTAGGGATGCGATTGGAGTCTCCGGTGTGGATCTCAGCATGCGTGAGCACCCACATGAGCCGAAGAGAGCAGAGGCTCTTATGAAGAGCCCGGCCCAGTTGATGCGATAGCGTGTGTGAGGACATGATGGCGTTCACATTATTACGGGGCTTTATCGCACTTTCTATTAATCCTCTTGGGAAATCTTTGGGGCCAGAATGGCATTTCATTCCAACCTTCTCAAGAAGAAAACCCGATTTGCAGATTAAAAATGATTATATATATTGGAGCTTTTGCATTCGAAAAGAGGTCGGCTGGAGTTTGGAGAGTATTATAAGAGCCATATAGAAGTCAGTTAGAATCCAGAAAGTTGCATAATAGCGGGATCAAGTAGGATAATAAGATATATAAAGATTAAAGGAATAGAAGACAAGATATAAAGCTTGGTAGCTGATCGCCGTGTGATAGCGGTAAGAGCTTATTAAAGTTTAATGATAGAGTGGAATACAGCTAGTTAAGGAATCGGCTATAGATAAAGATTCGGAGATTAATTTATCACAAAGATAGAGTGAGTAGGATTTAATGCGCCATTTGCTAAGAATTGTTAATTACGTCATATCACTCCTGATCGTTTTCTTCTAAGTAAGACTTGTGTTGCATTGATTAATATATATTGAGATAATAATAAACTAGATTTATTATGGAAGGCTCGAGTAGTCAATCCTTTATCCCTACAAATCTAGGTCGCGTGGATGAAGAGATGATACCCCAGGGGCGCGAGGTATCACAACATTGTGAAAATCGATGATTGAGGAGCAGCAAGGTATTATCCGAATTCTGACCGCAGATGATAAACCGGCTACAATTTATCACCCCAGAGGGTGTGGTTCTGCTCCATGATAACGCGCATCCACACGTCTTTAGGGTCACACACTCAGAACAGACCAAGTTCAAGGGGGAGCAGCATAACCCTCCATCCTACAGCCCGCACATGTCACCCAGCGATTTCCATGTGCTTGGTTCCCTGAAAAATATCTAAAAGGGAAGCCTTTAAACTTGGGCAACAAAACTCAAGGGCATTGTGAAGAACTGAGTCTCGTCACGGCCACAGGAATTCTGGGAACAAGGATTCCTTCGGTTCGTTAATCAAGAGAATCGTAGAGAGTGCTCATAGGTCTCTGGTGTATACTTTGAATAAAGTCTTCATTTATACCAACAGTGTCATTTCGTGCCTTTTCATTTAAGGTATCCGAACACATTGAAAATGACCAAGTTCGGTCAAGACAGATAGTTTTTTTTTTTACGTTACTGAACAGAGATA